TGAACACGCTGCTGCAGCTCCCGGTAACTTCCAGGACAAGCTGCCCCATTTCACAGCACAACAGTTGTCACACATTTGCCAAAACAGATCAGTACCTGAGGGCAGCTGGTGTCAGCTTGAATATCCTTATGTTATGGATCATTTTCACCTGACTAATGGGGCCTACTTATTAAACAACATCATAAATACCCCCCTTACAACATCTTAGGGCAGGAGCAGAGATCTGTCAATGCACGGGGGGGAAGAAACCTCATCCAACCCCAAAGAAAGTGTCACTTGTGTGTTTTCACTGTTGTATGTGGCATATTCCAATACATGGACTCTAACTGCCACCTCAGCTTCCAGAGAATTTCCCCAGGGGATCCTCCTTTTTAAAAAGAAAACTTACAATTTGTCTTCCTTCCATCTCCAGCTTGCGCTGCCCGCTCAGGATCTTGTGGCCCACGGTTCCCTGCACGCAGTAGCCGGGCATGATGACCTGGGAAGGAAACAGAAACATCTGCACACTCTGCAGGTGGGCTCGTGGAGCAGAGCTGTTTGTAACATTGAATCAGCCACAAATCAGAGAAACACAGGATTGTTTGAATTGGAAGGGACCTCAAAGATCATCTAAGTCCAACACCCTGCATGGGCAGGGACACCTCCCACCAGCCCAGGCTGCTCCAAGCCCCATCCAACCTGCCCTTCAACACTGCCAGGGATGGGGCAGCCACAGCTTCCCTGGGCAACCTGGGCCAGGGTCTTGGGTTAAAGAATTTCCCTCCTCATGTCCAACCTACATCTCCCCTCTTCCAGTTTTAATCCATTCCCCCTTGTCCTCTCACTCCCTGCCCTTGTCCAAAGCCCCTCTCCAGCTTTCCTGGAACCCCTTCAGGCACTGGAAGGCCGCTATGAGGTTTGTGCTCATCCCATTTTACACAGACCATCTTTGGACTTGATGATCTTCAGAGGTCCCTTCCAACCCCTACTATTCTATGATTCCTTCACTGGAAAGCTGCTTGTTTGTTCTGCAGCCTGGGAACACCCAGCTCCAAAACACCCACCACAACAAAACTGGAAAGCAAACTGCTGAAACCTACACACCACGAGTAAGAACTAGTGCAAGCTAGAAGTGTCTCCCAGGCCTCTTCAGCTTAACAAAAGCACCTTTGAAAATAAGATCTCCCACAAGCTCCTGAGATGTGTCTCACTAAAGGGCTCTTGTCCTGAGAGTGCAGGGCTGCATGACAAGTCTCCCTCCAACCCTTGCTCACGACTGTATCACAGCAGCATTGCACTAACAAAACATCCCTCAAGCAAACACAATTTCTTACCATGTTCTTTTCATTCCCTGCCCATTTCCTGAAGATCTGTAGGGACTGTCCTGCATGGAGCATGCCAGGGGTTGCAAACACAACCTAGAATCCAAAGAGGTACCAAAAATCACCACAGAAACAGTCCTGGGTTTTTTGTTTGTTTGACTTACATAAATATCTTGAAACTGGAGTATCCACTAATCCCCACCCCACTTCCTACCTCAGAGCTGTCATAGGGGGTTCTGCTGGTTTTCCCCCTTCTCTAATTTTCAATTAAGTCAAACCACTGGTTTAGGAAATGTTTGTGATCACCCACAGCATCTGAACAGTTCTATAATGGGACCATCATGCTCCACAGATTCCTCTTTCAGCCACTGCCCAATAAACCAGTCAGAAATAAAACCAGCAATAAGAGATGGTGTCGTGAAGGATCTGGTGTCTCACAATTTCAGTCAAAAGAATGTTCTGTAAAAACTAGGGTTGGGATCAGACCCAGAGGTACAGGTTATGCAAACACTTGATGGTTTGCTTCATTTTCTCTGGGCATCTTTACCTTTAGCAAAATAAAGATAGAAAGGATCTTTCACAGTTACACAGATAAAAGCCTCCAGGTGGCCTGGCTGCAAAAGGGGGGTGCTGATCTTTTCCTTTTCCTTAGCCAGGAGTAGAGTGGTACAAACCCAACTCCCTGACCCCCTCTGTCCCAGGACCTGCTCACACTCCCTTACCATGGGCCCTGGGTTGTCTGCAAAGGCCCGATCAAACGCTTTGATGTGTTTGAACTCAAACATGTTCCTCTGCACAAACGTCTTCCGGATCTTCTGGTTAGTCCAGGTGATGAAGAGCTTGTAGTAGTGGTTGGCCTTCTCTGTGAGCCCCGTGGAAAAATAAATTGGAGCCTTCAAATTCATCCTTTCCCTGGAGAAAGAAATATTCCAGAGACCTGTGAGGATCCTGGTGATCCACCCCAAAATCCCATAAACCCATGGAGGCTCCAGAGATGGTTTTTGTGCATCCCCTCCTCTCCTGGAGCTCTAAGTCAGGACCACCCTCCATCACTGAGCACCACCTTGCTGCAAGGGAGGCTCTAGTTCTCCCCCACTAGAGCCAGCTCCCTGCCATTACAAAGGTTTAACATTCTGCCATGGGATGTGATTAAAAGCAGCAGCATTTGGGATCAAAACCATCTCCACACAGTGCTTAGATGTTAATCTAGTACTTTGTTCATCCCTCCTCCCTCTCCCATGAAAACAGTTTTACAACATGGCACAGCTGCAGCCCAAGTCTTTAAAGGACAGTTGATCCTGAGTGTTTGGGGAAGGGGTGGAGAACGACACTGGGTAAGAAAATAGTTGTTACTGCTTGGAGTCAGGAACACTGGGAATGCATGGGAAGAAGAAACTCTGCACCCGCCAGCAGGGGCTGACCTGCAGAGGGAGAGTGTGGAGAACTCTGGTGCTACAGAGGGACAGGAACCTGCCAGCAGCACACAGAGGGGTAGTGGGACCTGCACAGAGGAGATGCACTCACCAGAAGGTTTCCAGTAAAATGCAAAGTTCCTGGGCACGTCCAAGGGCAAAAACTGGGATCAGAACCTGCAAGTGGGGTAGGATTTTACAGCTTCATTATACAAGAAGCAAATCAGGTGAATTCTGCCTGTATCCTCATTGTCTGCAGACCCTAAGTCCAGCACTTTCCTTGCTGTCTCATTAACTCACAGGTTGGTTTTGCTCTTGGCAGAGTTCAAGTGTTTAATAGTCTCTCTTTTCAATACAGCTGGAGAAACACAGAGATGCCTCCAGTGTCAGGCACGGGTGCCTGAGGGTGTTTGCAGTTCCACAGCACTACAGAGCCAAGCAGAGCTTCCCAAAGGAAAAATCCCATCACTGAGGTGATCACAACCTCCTACCTTCCCTCCTCTCTCTACAGTCTCGTGGACTTTCTTCAGGAAGTCTCTTTCTCTGCAGCGTTTGGAATCCCTGATGGTTGTGGCATAGGTGGACTCAGTGATTAACAGATCTGGGCGACACTTGTCGATCCAGGCAGCTCTGAAAACAAAGGGAATTGAAAAAGCCAAGTCAGTTTGGGAGATGGTTTCTGGCATTTCTGACCTGCAGGTCTCCAAGATGGGTGGAGAATGTCACTGTCTCCATTTGCAGAGAGGAAAACAGGTGTGCACAGGCTTGACCCAAGTCACCTGGAAGGTCCTTTGGAAGCATCATGATCCTCCCCTTTGCTCTCTTGAAATCAGACCAGCTCAGAAGAGAGGGCACAGATTTTGAGAAGCAATTCTTCTCCAGTCTATTACTTGTTTTAAGTGCATTAAAGTATTACTCTACATAGTATTAATCTCTCATATCTACCAGTAAAAATAAAGTTTGTGATTAGCTCTGTCTGAGAAAGTCAATACATTTAGAAGATACCATGAGAATAAAACATTTCAAACATCTAAGTCTAATTATTACACAGCCTTAAAAATCGATTGATGTGAGTGTAGAGAAGATGACATTAAGGTCTGTCTGGAAGAATCAGTGTAAATCTGTTCATTCTCATAATTCAAAAGTGCATTTATCTTCTCAGCAAAGACATCATTAAATGTCCCAGTCTCCCAACAAAGGATCAATGCTGATAAGCCCCCAGGACCAACAGAAGTTGTGCTCGTATGTTCCTATCAGAAATATATAATTTATGGAAACTTAGGCTTCTCACTTACCCCAAATGTCTGTCTGGTGTCATGTTATAATCACCCTGGTGGAAGAAGGGAAATCCATGAATATTCTCAAGGCAACAGGCAGTTCAAAGGCCACGCAGGGACTTGCAGGTGTTGTACTCACCGTGTAGACGACGGACTCACACCCAACCTTGATCTGGAACATGGCAGCTCCAAGCACATGGCCTGCATAGTAGGCCTTGATCTCCAGCTCCTCATCCACCTGCTCCAACACACAAACACTGCCCAACTGCACACACCTTGACCCCCCAAACCTGCTCTGCCTGGCACAACCACCCAGTGGGGCTGACTCAGGGGGATGCAGAAACGGTCACTTACCTGAACTGTCTGGTGAAGATGCACAGCAACCACTTTCTTCATGCAGTCTTTAATCATTTGGGAGGTGAAAAAGTTGATTTCCCCTTTCTTATCCACAGTGATCTTCCTGTAGTCCTCCAGGAGGATGGGACAGATGGCCTTGGTAGGATGGGTCATGTAAATGGGCCCATCATAACCCACCATTTCACTGAAATAGGGTAAAGCTCCACAATGGTCCAAGTGAAAGTGGCTGCAGGAAGACACAAGGGATAAGGGAGGAATTCAACTTGCCTGCTGCTCAGATCTGGCTTCAGATTTTAAAAGCACAGTGTGACCTGGAGGAACTGGCCAGAACATGAACGATGAACGAGGACTGTGGGTAAAGATTTCCCACTTCCCACCTGAGCCCTGAGAAGGAAGGAAACTTCCTCACCTGATGATCACACAGTCCAGGAAGTCGGTCAGCCTCCCGTTCTGAGTGATGTAGGAGAAGTCAGGGAAGCGCCTCTGCACAGACAGGAGAAAAACAGGCTCTCCACGGGGAAACAGCAGCCAACCCGGGCAGACACACCCGGGAAGCACCTCCACACAACACCCAGGCTTCCCCCCCCCCTGCACTCACATCATCGTTGTAGCCCATGTGCATCCCGCAGTCCAGCATCACGTTCTTCCCGGCGATGGACACCAGGACGCAGCTGCGCCCCACGTCCTGCCCGGCCCCTGCGCCCCGCAAAACACACCGGTCAGACAGACACCCCGCAAAACACACCGGTCAGACAGACACCCCGCAAAACAACACACCGGACAGACACCCCGCAAAACAACACACCGGACAGACACCCCGCAAAACAACACACCGGACAGACAGACACCCCGCAAAACAACACCGGTCAGACAGACACCCCGCAAAACCCACCGGTCAGACAGACACCCCGCAAAACACACCGGTCAGACAGACACCCCGCAAAACAACACACCGGACAGACACCCCGCAAAACAACACACCGGACAGACAGACACCCCGCAAAACAACACCGGTCAGACAGACAACCCGGGAACCCA